GCCTCTGGCCTTCCCTCCAATAAAAGTGCAACTCCAACTGTGCTCCTGTGTCCGCCACACGCCTCCCCTCCCCGCCTCCCTCCCACAAAGACCTTAGCCACTCTCACCCACCTCCCAGCACGCGGTCCTCGCTGGTACTCGGATCCCAGAGGCCCCAACCCTGAACCATCACCCGAGAGGTCCCAACTCAGAGCAGCATCACAGCTCAGAACCCGGAGTTCTCAGGTCAGCGCGCAGGGGTCAGCAGCAAGCCGCCCAGATGTCACTGGCAGCAGCTCGGGGTCCTCCCAGGCAGTGAGCCATGCTGCGAGGCCCCCCTCCCACCACACAGCCAAACACCGCCCCTGCAGGACCTCTGCTTGGACCCCTCTGGGATGGGCTGCTCACTGTCACCCCGCAGGTCCCCCAACTTTCACTGCTTTCAAGTGCAAGATTTTTCCTGAGGCTGAACCCCAACCTGCCTCCCAGTCACAGACATGCCCAGAAATGCACACAGGTCCCCCCAGTCCTGATATCTCCCCCCTCCACCCCTACCCTTCAGTCATAAGCTTAGGGATCCCAAGGGTAAATATGTTTATTTACAAAATACACAGACCCTCCCTCCCAGCATGCAATGCCTGGGAGAGGGAGAGGGGTAGGGGCCTCACACACCTGAGACCCCAAGAACACCAGGAGGGGCGGGGCCTGGGCGGGGCTGGAAGGACACACCAGCCCCGCCCCCCATACCAATCCATTGGTGGGTAAGGGATGGAGGGGCAGTGCTCCTTCTCAAGGTCATGACCGTGTGTCCAGTCTGTTCATGTATTCCTGCAAGGCCTTCAAACGGGCGTCTATTTCTGCTATGTCGGTTGCCTGGTAGTCAGAGCTATACTCTGTGAGAGCAGACGTGGGTTTGGGGGACCGTGAGGGGCTGAAGCCACAGGGAGCTCTGGGGCCCAATAAATGCCCTCAGTACCACCCCAGCAGACTCTGGGGCATGTGAGGGGGAGATGTGGAGTCCCAGGCTCACCTTTGATGGGGACCCAGCCCCCAGAACTGGCCAGATGCTTCGGTCGACGCCCACGTTCCATGGGGGTGAACTTCTGCAACTGGGGGCGGCATGAAAGGAGTCAGGTATTCTTCCTCTACTCCTGCCCCCCAAATCCCACCAGAAATTCTGAACCGAAGGCCCTCAGGAAAAATAAGAGCTGACACCTATTAGGCACCTATAACTTTGTATCTTCACCAAAATCCTCTGAAGTGAGTATTATTACCATCCCCGTTTAACTGATAACGAAACTGAGGCCCGGCTGGTGTGGCTCGGTGGTTATGATCCAGGAGGTCACCACTGGATTCTGGTCAGGGCACAGGCCCGGGTTTCAGTCGGGATCCCCAGTAGTGGGTGTGCAGGAGGCAGCTGATCACTGACACGCTCTCATCACTGATGTTTCTCTCTCTCCCTCCCTCTCTGAAATCAATAAAAATACATTTGGAAACTGAGGCACAGAGACTGAGGACTTATCTTGGAGTCACACAGGTCGTGGGGGGCGATTTGTGGCCAGAGCTGGCGCTTAACCAGTGTCCTCTGCCCCTACGCCACCCATCCTCCCTCCAACCCAGTGGTCTCAAAGCACTGTGTCCAGAGACTTCAGAGGCGCCCGATCCCCACCCTGGACTCGGGGAGAAGGGAACATGGGCTCTGGTGGCTTCCTGCTGCCCCACCTTCCCCGGGGCCTGAGGAAAGCCACTCACCGTATTGGACCCACTCAAGGTTGTGGAGCTGGGCCGCTTCCCACGGTGGCGGCGAATGCTAGAGGGAGGAATGGGGGCCGATGGGAGGGGTCTTTGGCCTCTCCCACCTCACCCTCCCCTCGGTTTAAAGCTCCATCGCTCCATTTCCCAACAAGACTGTTCCCAGTCTCCCCCAGGAGACAGTCCTTCCCCCGGCCCAAGTTTTACCCTCTAGAGAGGGATCCGGAGAAATCCTCCAACTCGCTGCAGGAGCTGGCGGACGAGCAGCGGCTGCGGAAACTGTCCACTAGAGGGAGAGGACACGGTGGGCCTCCAGCA